CCTACACGCCTCTTAGAATGGTTTGGCCGGACAACTACTGCTGTGTCCCCTCCAGGATGTCTGGGGGAAAAACCCAGGTCCTGGGTCCTGTGACTAAGGGTTCAGAGCCACCTGTGGGCTTGGACTCAGGAGCACTGGAGACAGGTCCCCGTGGGGACGCCCCCTCCCCCAAGCTGCTCCTCTTGCGGGTGGGCCTGGGTCTAGACAGCTGTGTCCCTGCTGCCTTTGGGCCACTGCCAGCTCATAGACAGAGCTGAAAATGGCCTGGCGACTTGCCACTCAGGGGTGGGGGTGGGGCAAGAAGCAGCAGCCCAAGCGGGTCAGCAGAGCCACGGGTACCAGCTCTCGCCTTCTGCACCTACCCAAGGACCCTGTCCACCAACCTGGTTGTCCATGAGCGACACGAGAGGAGAGACGACCAGCGTGAGGCAGGGGCTTCGCCGGAAGTAGAGCAGTGCGGGGAGTTGGTAGCACAGGGACTTACCAGCCCCCGTGGGCAGTACCAGCAACGTGGACACACCTGGGTTTTACCGAGAGGGTCAAGAGCACAGCTCTATGGCCCAGCCACAGTCCCACCGCGCCCCCTGCCGGCTGTACTCACCAGACAGGATCCGCATGACCACACGCTCCTGCAAAGGGTAGAAGGCTTGGTGCCCCAGCTGCTCCAGGGCCTGAAGCACCTCAGCTGGCGTGTCTGTGGATACAGCTATCAGTCAGCATGGCCCCGAGTCGCCCCCACTCCCCAGTCAAGGCTCTGGAGCGGGTAGCCGTCTACTCACCTACCACCTGCCCCAAAGGCCCTGGCGGATAGAGCGGTGGCACCGGAGGCAGACAAGGAGCCTGGGGCACAGACTGCCCTGTGGGCACCAGCAGCTCAGGCCCCACAGGCTCCGCGTCTTCTTCACCTGCCGAGAGCAGACGGGACAGCGTAGGATAGGCACTCCCGACTGGTCTGCGTCACTCCGGCAAGACAGACGCTTGCTGCCACCTCTGCTCCACCTCTCCGCTCGCCAGAGGACTGGCGCCAAGCAGCGCCCGTTCTCCAGAATACTTCCTCGAGTGTGGTCCGGGTCTGTGTGCCACCCTCATGCTCGCCACCCTCCTTCTGAGGGGCCAGGGTAAGTTCCAGACCAGGGGCAGGAGCTAGAAGGACCTTTTGCTTGAGCTAGAGCCGCCTCCCCAAAGAGCACAACAACCCCTGCAAGCAGCGCTGGCCCAAGCCACCCCCCAGGGCAGAGGCCTCACCTGGCTCACACTGGGACCAAGAATCCTGGGCTGTGGCTCTGCGCTGACCACCCCCAAAACACTCTCGTTTCTTCTGCCACTTCTGCTTCCATACCTAGTGGGAACACAAAGGAGACTCACAGAGCGAGAAGCAAGGCAGGTGGGCGGGGACATCCGGCACCACCTTCGCACCTGCTTGCGAAGGAGCCTGCCCCTTGAGGCCGGGCCCCGCACGTAGCGTTTCTGCTTCATGTTGAGCCGTACGTAGTTCCCCCTGTCCTGGACAGCAGGTCTAGAAGAGACGCACAGGTCGACTGCACCCACAGCCCTCCCCACCATGGCGCAACTGAGGGCAGCGCTGCTGGGAGGCTAGGGCAGTGATACCTGGGGGCTGGGGGCTTGCTGGGGGGCTGTGCCTGCACAGACTGCTCTGGACAGTCTTCCGCAGGCACTGCAGCCCCAGCTCCCGCAGGCAGGGGTCCTGCTTGGCCGCTGTCCTGCTGAGTCTGTGCAGGGCTTCCCTCCAGCTCCCCACTCCATCTCCGCTTCTTGCCTTGACGGGTACCAGGCTGAGAGGTCCCTGCACTGATACCAGCTGCTAGTAGGGTTGGAGTCTTTGGGCCCTGTAAAGGCATCTCAGGGCCAGCGCTGGGACCGAAGACAGATGCAACACCTGGAGTAAGAAGCTGGGACTCCTCTGCACCCAGGCAAGGCTGGCAGGCCTTGGGAACCCCCAGAAAATCTGGGGTCCCATTGTGACACCGCTGCAGCCAGCCTGGGTCTAGGGAGCCCAGCCGCAGGCTCAGGGATGCCCTCAACTGCTGGGGCCGGCCTGGCCTCAGCTCAGGCCTGGGAGGCTTGGGGGGCACCTCACTGACTTCTTCTGGAGAGATGGTGGCAGCTTCTGTGCCTGGTGGCCCTGGGGAAGGCATCTTGGAGGAGGATCTTCGTGTAAGCCGGGGTATTCGGCCCAGGGCTGGCCCAGCCTGGGAGGGAGAGATAAGCAAGCAGGAACTCAGGCCCTTGGGGGTGCTGCAGACTCTGAAACCTGCTGGAAACCCCACCTGTAACAGCTGGGTGACGTGAGAAACTTAAGGCTAGGACATAAAAGAAGTCGAGAGTAGAAGCGACGCTAAACTCTTCTGGAGAGCTGCGCTCTGGGAAATGCTGGAGTTGTGTGTGTGTGCACGTGAATACGTGTGAAAGGTTTAACAGGATTGGGTGCCTGCTAATCCTGCTTCTGGGCCAAGCGTAGCTCTGGACCCAGGCTGGATGCACTGCCTGCCCGGCCCTCACCTGCAGACTGCCCTTTAGGTTGGCCTTAAGCCTCTTCCCGTAGTCCTGCACAGATCCCTGAGAGCTGAGCCTTGATGGAGGATGGGGGCTCTGGGTCGCGGCCCGATTCAGGTGGGGCCCCCAGCAGCTGGGCTCCGGCATCTGCAGGAAGAGACGGTAGAGATCTAGGCCACGGAAAGGCTGGCGCAGGGGGGAACAGAGGTGTCTCCAGCCCGGAGACCTGAGGGTGGGGGCTGTCCTTCCTCCACCCTGTCAGCCCGCCCCCTGAGTTCTTTGCCCCACAGAGCCTGGGTCACGACTCCTCCTGGATCCGGCATACAGGAAGTTGACTGATAGGCTGGGATGTCTTGCCCGGGTACCTCCTCGGCCGCCGCCGCGGGAAGCGACTGCTCCGAGCCGTGAGGCCCGACGCCGCCGGCCTGACCCGGTGCCTCCTTCAGGGTGCGGTACTCCCGGTAGAGCGCTGAGGGCGGGGCCGGGCGGGGAGGGTCGGTGTTCAGGAGGCAGGGCTCGGCTGGGCGTGGGGGTGTAGGCCGCCCGCCCCCTGCCCGCGTCCCTGGCCGCTGCCTCCGCCCCGCGCCCGCTCGCTCACCGCGGGTCTCCTCGGGCGCCGCTTCCACGTCCTCCTGTAAAGGGAGCGCGTCAGCCAGATGCCGCTCCCTCAGCTCCCCGCCCACGGGCAGCCCGCACCTGGCCCGGCAACCGCCCGCTCCGCCGCCGAAAAGCGCGCTCCCACGCCTGCAGCCGCTCCCGCACATCCCGCAGCTGCTCCATGGTCGCCCTGCCCTGCGCCCGGCGCCCCAGGAATCTCCCGCCAGAAGGGCGACGCCGGCCGCCAGCCACTGGGGGCGCTCGGCGGGGTTGGAGGCGGGGCGACGCGGCGGCCGCCGGGCCGGGGCAGCCAATCCGCGGGGCCCTGGGGCGGCAGCCAATGGGGGGGTGTTAACGTCATTGCGGCGCGCGGCGGCGCTGGGCGGGGCGCGACGTACGGCGAGGCGGGGCCGGCGGCGGCGGCGGCGTCTGCGGGCCCGGTGAGCGCAGGTCGCCGGCCGGGGCCGGAGCGTGGCGGCGTGTGTCCCCGTCTCTGCCTGGCTGCACGAGGCCGGTGCGGGCGCTCGGGACGGCGCCGCCCGGGAGGCGGGGGTGGGAGCCCAGGCGGTGTGGCTGCGGGGAGGGGAGGACCCGAAGCACGGTGCCGGGCTGAGCGGCCTCGGGTCCCAGGAGGCGACGCGCAGGCTTCGAGGGGCAGACCCCGCCCGGAAGGCGGAGGGCGTCGGATTTAGAGCCTCCCGCGGCTCGAGG